ACACACACACACTCGCACCAGGGACGGCCGTTATACATGAACTACATACCACCCCAAATGTGCAATTAAATGTAAGAAATCGAACATATAAAGATGGGTTACAAGCGATGTTGCCTCTTGGTAACACAGGTTATGAAATCAGCGCGCATAGGGAATTGAACTGCGCACAAAACTGTAAATTAAAAAAATGATAATAATAAAACAAACGCGGTCGTCAATTGAAAAATGCTAAATTGACCACATGAGACTGGCCGCAAGAGGCCCGACTTGGCTGTGTGCAGTATTACTATCTGTGCTCTCGTGGTCTCGTACCTCCCTGCTCCTGCCCGCTCCGCACTCAATTCACTCACTCTCCATGACTGGGCTCGCTGAGTCGCTGTCCCGGTCTTTTGAATCTCTATGCTTCTATGAGGATGACTACATTAACAAAAAATAATTTCAGGTTTACAGTTTTACGTACACTTGTTCTTGTCACTCGGAAAAAAACTTGCACAACTTGAAATTTTTGCGCACACAGGCCGTTAAGAATTAGAGGGAACATTGACTACAAGTACACATTTGTCAATATGAAGTAGCCTCATACGTGCCTTTCATGTTTCATTAATAAAGGGTGCGTTGGGCATTTACAAACATTACACGAACGGTTTTAGTGATAAATCAGTAATGTGGGACTGAGAGCACAAGAACAGCCGCGAACAAGAGGAGACCACTGAGCCCATTGGTTAACTAACTGATCTCAGGCTCGTCTTGAACGACACGGCCGGGCTGCTTGTTCCACACTCCCACAACCCTTTGGTGTAAAGACGTGCCTCCTGATTTGGACTCTAGCAGCACACCCCCGACCCCGTCCGGGTCCGGAGAGGCGCGCCGGACCGCCCGCCTGCCCGGGGTCTCCCTCTTGAGGCCGGGGGCCCGCTTGATGCACACTGACCACCGAGCCCATGACCTGGGCGTCTGAACGCCGCGAGACGGAAACCACCCCCGAGGACCCCGGGAGGGGGCAATAACGGTCATACTTACGAAGGAGTCGACCATCACCAGCACGATGTTGGGCCGGAGGGCTGCGGTACCGTTCCTCGGAGCGGACCCAGTCACAGCGCGACTTTCCGGGCTCCCCAGGAAGACAGCCGCCTGGGTCAGCAGGAAAGCTGCAAACGTCTTGGACATGATTTCCCGACAGACGCGCAAAGCCCCCTAAAGAAAAGCGAGTCGTTCTCAGCTCGTTATCTTCCTTAAACGACTTCCCATTCGGCCGAGAGCTGACAGCAGGGCGGAGACGAGCACAGGAGTCAACTTATCGATAAACGTGAATTTAAGAACAAAAAGACGAACGCTTAGGTCTTTTCAGGTTGCATGAGTTAATACAGCTCGTAGACGAAAACAGCGGAGCGAACCGGGGGAAAAAATGCTTTAACTTTAAAGCGATCGCTCTGCGTGCTGATACTGCACGAATACTTCCCGATTACTTCATTACTTGTAGTAGATGTAAGGAAGTTTATTTGGGGGGGAAAATAAAAAATTTACTCAGATTTTGTTGTTGATTGATTGCATCCTGGAAGGTCTAACCGGGCATCAGGCAGGTGCGAGTAAGCAAGCGGTACCCAGCCCGATACAAATGTAAACCCCTCCTGCCCCCAGTCCAACCAGAGAAACTTTCTATCCGCTGGGTTTTAAAAACAGCTGGCCGCCCCCTCTGCGCCCTCGGATGTCCCTGGTCACATGACAGGGGTGCGCGGCTGCGCGCAGAACCCGGATGGGACGGAGCTGCCGGCAGCACTAAACTTGGGCAGAAGCAGCAGCAACATCCAGGTAAAGCGAGAGCTGGATCGCCGAAGATTCAGGATTGTTTGCACAGGGGCAGGGAGGGGGTCTGTGCTGCGTGTCGTCCAGCTCCACAGAAGCGATTCCTGCTGTCGTGGGCTGAGTGTAGCCCAGTAGTCGTGGCAAGTTGTGTCGCGTCATGCAGCTCTGCTGTAATTGCACTTCGGATGATTGTTTTCGCGTTGAGTTGAGGTTTGCAACCCCTTTCACGCCTCCGTTCAGATGAATTGAAGCACCCTACCTCCGGGGTCCCCGTGTCTGTGTTAGTGCCCGGGTAACGGCACTCTTTGTCCAAAACAAACAGGTGCAGCAGGTTGTTAGCGGACATGGTTCAGCTTTCAGCCAGTGCCGCTGTGTGACTGACCATGAGTGTCAACGGAATCACGTTGAGCAGCTTAGCTGGCGGGTCGTGAATGCTTGTAGACAAGGGAAGCGTTAGTAATCATTTCAAATGGTCATTTCTTACCAATGACGGTTCTAAGTCTGAGCGGGGCTTGTTGTTAGTAGAGGTTTTCCCAGTTTTTCTCTGTCCCTAGCGTTGCACACACTCGTTTTCTCGGTGGAAGTATTCGTATTTAGTGTATTTATTATTACAGTAACGTTGCGTTTATAGACACATAATTTTGAATTTGATATACACCTATAAATTCAAACCAGAAACGTATGTGCTACTTCGTTGTACAAAGTTTTCTAGCTGCACCTACTGTATGAGTCTGGGCACGCAGTACACTTAAAACCACAGCGTTCAAGGACCAGATTCAATTCAACCTTGATAGTTTTCCGTCTTGAAAGGTCCCAAGCTGCTTCACATACAGGAAGGAACCCACTTAACCCATCATTGACATGCAGCCCCACCTGGGAGACACACAGAGGCCATTCTGCACCAGCAGCCCCACCTGGGAGACACACAGAGGCCATTCTGCACCAGCAGATCAAGGGGAGGAGTGAGAAATTACTGCACCTAATGAATTAAGGGGGATCTGTAGGGAGGTGAGACTGTACAAGACCACAGTGGAATTTGTCCAGGACCCTGGGGTTGCTCTCACGAGCAGAGCCCTGTGATCTTTAATAACCGAATAGACAGGACCTCAGAATACTGTCTCACATGAAGGATCAGACCTCCTACAGCACAGTGTGTTGAGTGTTCCCATTCACTGTAGTGGGTTAGGGAAATTATTCTGGTGAGGAAACACTTGGTTAGGAAAATTCTTGTGTAGAGCAAAGAGCGCCTCCTACAGGTCCACAACAGCCTGCATTCCCTCGGAGGTCTCTCGTCCTGGTAGTGACCCGGCCCGGTATTGCTTAGCTGCTGAGGTCTGACCCGATCAGGCTACTGTTTGAGGAGTCTAATTCTTTTTCATTTGCATAGCACCAAAGTATTTTTGTTAAACGAATTCAATTGATTACAGTTCGTCATGCTCGTAAGAGCTGGCAGAGCAGAAATGCTATGCTTGACCCCGGCCGTGGGTGAGCATGTTGCTGGAATAGTCGTGCAAACTTTTTGTGCACAGGGAGCCATTCACCAGCTTCCCGATGGATCCCGGCTGTTGACATTTGGTGAGCAGTGGGCGTTTGCTGGAGTGCTCGGCAGCTCTGCAGTGAAGAGCCTCTGAATACAATGATCATTAAAAAGAATCATCGCTCTGCTGAGGACTGTGTAATTTCAGAACTTAAGAAAGAGAGGAGGCCATTTGCCAGGTGTAGCCCCAGAGGTAGTTAGTAGAGAATTGATCCCAGGATCTCATCCAGCTGTTTCTTGAAAGAAACCAGGGTGCCTACTTCAACAACATGACTGGGCAGCTTGTTCCCCGCTCCTACAATGCTTTGCGTAAAGGAGAACGTCCTCGTCTCAGTTATATACCATGTAGTTTCTAGATTTGTTTTCTGGTTCATGTTTCCCTACTCCTCCTGAAGAAGTCAGCTGCGATAACTTTCTCAGTCCCTTTGAGGATTCTGAACACCAGAATCAGGTCTATTAGCAATGTGTATGATGTTATTTGTCTCCTTGTCTTCTCTGTTTCAGGCTAAAGAGATTGAGTTCTCTCAGCTTGTCAGTGTAGGACATTCCTTAAAGCCCAGAATGCATCTGGTGGCTCTTCTGCAGACTCATTGTGGGAGTCAGTGTTCTAACTTCTTACAGGTTATTAATGCAAATGCACAGGAAGATAACAGGGTCAAGCTAGGTTTTGTGTAGTAGCAGATCAAATTGACTTGAAACAATGTATTGTCTGACAGTCTGTGATTGGTCCGGGATATTTCCGAATAATTATCTGCTGAAT